GCCAGCCTCGGGGCCCGGCCGTAGCCCCCGTGCATCGTGCGGGCTGGGCCAAGCCCCCAAATCAGCCCGAGGCAGGGGCTGTGAGCCCAGAGTCCCCCACCCCTCCTCCCCACCCCCCCAACGGACATCCGCGACGGGGTCTGAGGGACGAGCCCAGGCACCGTCTGTGCAGTGATGGTTTATTCCGAGAAACATAGTGGTGAGCACTAGGGCCGTGCGAAGCGAGCTCAGTTCGATCTCGGATTCGGCCCGAATTCGGGGGGCAGCGATGCGATTCGTCGATTCGGATCACCGTCCCCGATTCGATTCGGATGCATCCAAATCTGAAGATTCAGTGTCGATTCGGAGGCAGGCGCGGCTTTAAATGGTCTTTCTACGTACCTCGAGGTACCGGTGTGACTCGTGATCGCCGGGGCACATGGAGGGGGCCCCCACGTGCTCCCCCCCCCCCCCGAGGTGCCAGTCACCAAACCAAGGGCAGGGCCCCCTGAATGCTTCCTGGTGGGCCTGGAAGTGCTTCTGGTCCACTTCCAGGTCTGCTGCTGAATGCGTTGGGGACACGTCACCCCCCACCACCCCCGGCGTTCCTGTGGGATGCTCCGTGTGCCCCAGCATCGCAGCATTCATGAGCCACCGACTCCTGAGAGGTACGTAGGAAAATATTTAAAGCTGTGTCTATCTCCGAATCTTTCCGAATCGATTCAGAAGGTTCCAGGTCGATTCGGAGAGATTAAAGGGTCCTCTGATTCGATTCGGATTCAGTGATTCGGCTGCCGAATCGGGCTGAATCTCCACTGAATCAAATCGGGGGTCAAAGCTTCGCGCAGCCCTAGTGAGGATGCCCGGGGAGCTGTATTCGATCGCAGTGGTGCTGGGCACCCCAGGGTGTCTTCGCTGCCTCGTTTCCAGGGTCGCAGAGCTGGAGTGGATAGGCAGAGCCTGTTGCTTTTGCTTCTGAAATTTAGGCATGGATTTGGCGTTCTCGTTCACAGCCCTCAGAGAGGCCCCAGAAGGCCACTTAGGACAGTTCTCACCACTAACTAGCGTGTAACTCCCTGCTCCGTTAGCGGGGGGGCGGCCTGCAGCATTTTCAGCATGCTGATGACATCCAGATTTTTTTTTTAACTATCCCCAAAAACTTTGACATCTTCACGTTTTAGTGTGGTTACCTCATGGTACTGTTACAAGATATCCTTTATATAAGAAAGTAAATATGGCTTTTTCATCTAACTTGTTAGAGAACTGAAAAATGTCTGGATTTCTTGAGAGCATGAGATGCTCAGAGTGCGTTGATTGGGGAGAAAAGCGAAATACAATTGCATCCATTGCTGCTGGTGTGCTGGTATGTATAACTAACCAGATACCCTTTTTTATTTTACACGTGCTTTTGTCATGTACTTGAGTCACTACTGAAGTGAAAAGTGCTGTTTAAGACGAGAGCAATATGCTAACACCCACTGAATACAGGATGCTGGCAGCTCATACTGGATCTTGTGTTACTGCTTTCAGAGTAGTTATCCTGGAAGCATAAATTCAGTTAAGAGAAGAGTGTATGAATTCAGGTAATAGAATGGGCATTCAAGCAAGTTATCACATGGTAAGGTAGGCTGTGAATTTAGGGCAGGTCAGCTACACAGCAGGTATCCACCCGCATGCTTTTTTACCTGCGGTTTATGAAAATAACTAAGCTACTTTACATTTACCACAGAATGAAAATAAGTGCAAATAGTTACCATGAAATAGTTGAAGTGCTTAAAGATAATGCTGTAGCTTATCTTGTGGTTACTTGCTTGGGGAGCGCTACCATAATGATATAGCCTCATCAGAATCGGGGAGAAAATAGTTTGGCCTAATCTACACATGAAAGGCAATCTGTGTTTTGACAGACAACTACCAAACATAATTTCTTTTTTTTTTAATATCAAAAGTCTAGGGAATCCCAAAAGTTGTTCAGTTAGCACTCCCCTCAAGCCCCCCCAGTCAGAACTTGATCTGAATTACTTTCCTCATAATTATGATACTCTGTTGCACCACTGAGCAGGCTTGTGGTAGGGTCTCATTTAAGGGTAGTTCCAGGGACATTTATACAGGCACATTTAAAAAATGTAGCTTAGTGAATATATTTAAGGAAAACACACTTTTATGAGGCTTTCTTAAATGATGTTTCTGTGGAAATCTTAAGCATGGGCTGCTCCACTTTTCTCATTTTCCACCAATTTAATGCTGCATATCTAACTGCTCGTGTCTCATCTTGTTCCCAACTAAATAACCAGCAAAACTCTCATCGACTTAAATGGAAACTAAATTGGCCATATAACTTTTTTTCATATAAGCTAATGTATCTTTTGCTGCAACAATCTTGTAATGCTGTCGGGTGTAATCATGTCTGCGTTTTAAGTCATTTTATTTTAAATAGTTTTTTACAGGCTGGTGGATTATCATAGATGCAGCTGTTAAGTATCCTGACATGGAACAGTTCAACCATTCATACCATGCTTGTGGAGTTATAGCCACTATTGCATTCCTAATGTAGGTGCAATTCTTTATTAGCTACATGCTTTATAAAACTTGCATTGTGCAAATAATGTAACAAATACAGGTTTTAAGGCAAACTTTCATAGACCTGTCAAACATAAATGGACATTATTTCTGCAGGGTGGGTCACTAGGAGCTCACATAGAAGACATAGTCACTCAGTCATGGTTGATTCCAAGATGAACATGAGTCGTCAATGTGATGAAGTGATCAACAAGCACTCTATCATGCATTAGCAGGTGCATTATGAACAAGTCCAGAGAGGTGATGCTTCCCCTCTATGTGGCATTGGTTAGGCCGCAGTTGGAGTACTGCATCCAGTTTTGGGCACCGCACTTCAAGAGGAATGTGGACAACTTTGAGAGGGTTCAAAGAAGGGCCACTCATATGGTTAGGGGACTGCAGGCAAAGCCCTACAAGGAGAGATTGAGGGACCTCGATCTCGTCAACCTTCGCAAGAGAAGGCTGAGAGAGGATCTTGTGGCCGTTTACAAATTCATCGGTGGGGGGGCAGCAAGGAATAGGAGATGCCGTGTTTACCAGTGCACCCCTTGGAGTAACTAGGAACAAAGGCCACAAACTGATGGAAAACAGATTTAAGTTAGACTTCAAGAAGAACTTCTTTATGGTAAGGGTTGCCAGAATCTGGAATGGGCTTCCAAGGAAGGTGGTGCTCTCCCTACCTTGGGGGTCTTTTAAGAGGAGGCTAGACATGCACCTGGCTGGGGTCATCTAATCCCATTGCTCTTTCCCAGCCTGAGCACGGGTTTGGACTTGATGATCCTCTGAAGTCCCTTCCGACCCAAATATCTATGAATCTATGAGTACCAACAGACTCTATTTACATTGATTGCAAGTAATTGGATTACAAGCCAAGTCTCTTAATACCTACCACATATATTCTTACTAATTTCAACATTCTAAATAGGATACTGTTTGAAAAAGCATTTTTTTTTCAAATTTGAGTTAGTTGTATCTTCTTGCAAAGCAAAGCTTGCAGAAAATATGATAAATTCTCACTATTAGCATATACAGTAATAGAAGAAAATCACAAAAAGTGGTAATTCTGTTTTTACTGTATTGTTCAATTCCCTTCTGTTTCTTTTATGTAGGATCAATGCAGTATCGAATGGTCAAGTTCGTGGTGACAGTTACAGTGAAGGCTGTCTTGGACAAACAGGTAGTAATAAATCACATTATCACTAGAACTGTGCATGTGGATAATGCAGTGCTTTGATGTAGATTTGTTTCGTAAATAAAACAAGTGTGGCATTTTATATTCTTGATATGCCACTAATAAGCCTTTTTACAGGATATTAACTTGATTTCTTTTTCATATATGTCAAAAGTTTATTCATTTTACATGATTTTGTCAAACAAGCACTTTTAATTTCCACACCTTGTTTTGCCCACCGCCTACACATTTGGCAATAATTAATAGTTTTTGGTTTCATTCTTCTGGCATCTGAGACACTCTAAAATAATTTAGTATGAAACAATAAATTTGGCCCCCATAGTTTTGGCTGCTACGTTTTCCAGATGGTCACCATATAACTTACTGATTCTTATCTTCTTGGTGTGTAGTGCAAGCTTGCTTTTTTTGTCCAACATAAGATCTGTTTCATTTTGGCTGGTTGGTGCTATCAGCTATCTTAACGTTCTCTCTATGAATCATGGGTGGAAGTCACCTCTTGTAGAGGACTTGCACAAGTCTTAGGCACCACTCTCCACAGTGACAAGGAGCACAGCTGTCATGTAAGCAGCTGCAGCTCTGGAGTTGCAATAGCATCATCCTGTTACTGCTTTGATAGTTCCCTACAACATCTAGGATGTGTGTAAGATGTGTTTGTATTTTGCATACAGTGGCAGTCCTAGTCTAGAAGGCTGTGTTTCTACAATAAAGTACGATGAAACGAGCATATTTCAAGTTAAAGTACATGTGCACATTCTTTTTAAGGCGCTCGCATCTGGCTGTTTATTGGTTTTATGATGGCCTTTGGATCTCTGATTGCTTCCATGTGGATCCTTTTTGGAGGCTATGTTGTTAAAGGTAAGATGCAATACAGATTTTAATATCAAACCTATTTTGATTTTTACATGGGCATTGCATAAATTTATGTGAACTTCCCTCTGAATCGACGCTCAGAAGATCTGTTCTAGTATTTATGATGTTTTAAGTAGGGTAAATGGAAAAGGCCCTTAATCCCAATTTCTATTCTAGTCTTTCTGCCTTACATTGCCTACAGGACCCTCCAGTGTTGGCTACAGCCACAAGAAACTTTGCTTTCCCTGGGGACATGTTTCTTCATGTTGACAGAGCAAAGTATGGTGTTGCCCACAGTACATTACTCATCAGTATTGTTATCTGTGAGCCACTGATCATATTCAGTAATTGTCTCACATGGGTAGTTTTGCTGTGCAGTGACAATGCCAAAAACCCTATGTTCTATTCAGCTGGTTTAGATGTAGAACCCTGTTCATCTGTCTGTTAAAGATATAAATAGTTCACAAGGACATAGAAAATATCTTACAGGAAGTATAGTGTAAGCTGCGGTGTTTGTAAAACAAGTGTTTGTTTTCCCCCTACTTGGCTGCCACAGCCTGGAATATTATTGTTTGTCACTCCTCTTATCTTATTTACAACAAAAATAAAAAGGCTCTTTGATCACACGTTTGCTGTACCAGACAAATAATCCTTGTTAACCTGATGCTGGAGCATTCATGAAATAACAGATTATATCAGAAAATAAAAAGAATATTTTCATAAAAAATTGGAAAATTATTTTTGTTTTCTTTTACCAGAGAAACCAGTAGTCTATCCAGGAATAGCCGTCTTCTTCCAGAACGCATTTATCTTTTTTGGGTAAGCCTGTGTTTTCTTTCTTATTCTTCTAAATTAAATCTAGTTAGTTATAATTGTGATCGCTGTGAAGAAAAAGCTAGTTTGTAATAAGGTATGTTTAGGCAGCGTTTAGAGATCTGCCTGTTTGCATCTTGTTGCAGGATCAGGACTTTATATTCAGAATCACTGAATACTGAAGTCTGTGTTAGCTATCAAGACTTTGGATCTGACTGCTCTTTTTTGGAAGCAAAAGTCCTTATGCTTTGTGAAAACATCATATACTCATGGTTTGGTTTCTTGTTTTTTTTCTCTAAACAGAGGACTGGTCTTTAAATTTGGTCGCACTGAAGATTTGTGGCAGTGACTGTCTGAGGAAGTGCATCAGCCCTCTCTCTCTTTCCACTGCACGCTCCTGATCTTTTTGTAAAACCATTTTGTAAGCTGTTGCTCCTGGATTATGTCTGAGGATAAAATGAGCACAATGTGGAATCACGACACTAATTTTTTTATTCTGGTAAAAATTTGTACTCTGCTGTTGGCTTTAAATGGTGTGACTGTATTTGACTGAAATGAAAAGTTGATGAAGGAAAATGTAGCAATGGAAGTCACTTTTTATGGTATATTATTTGTTACAAATAAATGTCGTAGATGAATAATAGCTGTGTTTAACCAAGTGTTCTACACTCTCTAAGGTCCAAAATGGCAATTAAAAATGCTTTAAAACAACCTTTAAATATATTTATTAAGATACAATATTTCGTATATGTAATATTACACTATATAAATATTTCGTGAATTTCAGAACTCTGGCCTGTGGCACTTTATTTTCCACAAAATACAGTTTTGTTTCTGTATGAATATTTGGACTGCAATATTATGACCTTTCATAAGTAATAGTCAAATAAAGGTTTGTTATTGCTGCATGGAAAAATTGGAGATTAACTTTATTTTAGCAACCAGGCTTTTTATATAATTAGCTAATGTGAACATTTGCTCTTATACTAGATGATGGATAATTTGTCCATGAAGTTTGTTACAAGCTACATTTTAGTTTGCAAGGGAATAAAAAATCCTTTTACAAGACTTGGGTACCCTGGCTCTACAAACAGTGCTCCTATATGGTTTAATTCTTGAGTTTAGCTTCCAGAGGGGAAAGGGAATGTTTCTGAATTTGTTTTTTTGAAATTGTTACGGGTATTAGCAAAGCTCTGCCATACCTACCTGGCTCACAGCCTCTGTTAAGTGGCATACCATCCTTCTCCAAGTACTGTGGGATTTCTTAAGTCAACATAGTTTCATAGTAGCTAGGGTCAGGAGGGACCTGAACAGATCATCTGGCCTGACCCCCTGCCACAGGCAGGAATGAATGCTGGGTTCACAAGACCCCAGACAGGTGATCATCTAACCTCTTTTTTTAATTTACCCAAGGTAGGGCAAGGATCACTTCTCTAGGAAGTTAGTTCCAGATTTTGGCCACCGTAACTGTAAAATATTGCCTTCTGATCTCTAACCTAAACCTATTCTCCATCAGCTTGTGACCAGGTGGTGCTGGGGAGAAAAGGGCTCTGCCTATTTGCTGTTGATCCCCCCTGATGAGCTTGTAGGCAGCCACCAGGTCCCCCCTCAGCCTCCTCTTGCTGAGGCTGAACAGGTTCAGGTCCCTCAGTCTCTCCTCGTAGGGCCTGTCCTGCTGCCCTCTCACCAAGCGGGTGGCCTCCTCTGAACCCTCTCCAGGCTGGCCACATCCCTCTTGAAGTGCGGTGCCCAGAACTGGACGCAGTACTCCAACTGCGGCCTGACCAAAGTCACATAGAGGGGGAGGATCACCTCTCTGGACTGGCTTGAGATGCACCTTTGGATGCATGACAAGGTATGACTGGCCTTGCTGGCTGCGGTCTGGCATTGGCGGCTCATGTTCATCTTGGAGTCAATAATGACTCCGAGATCCCTTTCCGCCTCTGTGCTTTCAAGAAGGGAACTCCCCAGCCTGTATGTATGCTGTGGATTCCTTCTCCCAAGGTGCAGCACCCTGCATTTGTCTACGTTGAACCCCACCCTATTCTCATCTGCCCACTTTTGTAGTCTGTCTAAATCTATTTGCAGCCTCTCCCTTCAAGTGTGTCCACCTCACCCCGCATCTTAGTGTCATCAGCAAACTTGGATAATTTAGTCTACAAGATGCATCTTTTCTAGGTTCTTTCAACTACCTTATGGCAGCTGCTTTAGCTGTGCTCCTAACACATTCTGTATACTTCCTTTTCTTTTTTCCTGCACAACTTCAGAGAAAAGTTCTCGAACACTCTGGTGAATCTTGGTGTGTGTTAAACTTTTCATTGCATTTAATACCTAGTGATTTCCAGTCCTTTCCTTTTCAAAGACATTTAGAAAGCTTTCTGTACCTTTTGGTGGATTTACAACTTTCACATCATAGCTCAATCTTCCAAATATTTGGAAATTTTTATGTCTATATCTTTAACCTGGCAAATGCCTCTAGTGTCTTGCCAAACTGTAATGTTATTTCTTTTTAGACATTTCCACTGGTTTGCATGTTATTGAGGAGGGGGAGGTAGTTTGTTTTCTGTTTGACTTGAGACTAAACCTGGATTTGTACCTTGTAGACTAAGTAAATCAGAGATGTATAGCATAAGCTTTTGTAAGCAGAGAGCTTACTTCCTCAGGTGCTACGTACAGCCTTCACTCTCATGTACACGACATCTGTGGAAGTAAGCCTCTTGGTTACAGAAGCTTATGCTATACATCTCTGATTTAGTCTACAAGATACAAATCTACCCTGCCTTTTATATGTTGTTGCCAAGCTCATAATTGGCTTGCATGTTGTATTCTTCTGCTTGAGTTAAGACTGAATGGAGTTCTCCATATTTTTCGTAACTAATTCACTCTGAATCAGCATTGAATCTGGATTTGGCCGAACTGAATCGAATCGGGCCGGTGATCTGAATCAGTGAATTGAATCACTGTCCCCCACGTCGGGCCAAATCAGATTTCAATTGAATATAGCCCATTTTGCACACCCCTAATAAGTATATCAGGAGTACATCAAGGCCTGGGGGAGCAACTATTCGCCAAGGCCCCCCAGGGGAGGATTAGAAATAATGGGCACAAGCTGATTGAAGATCGCTTCAGACTAGATATAAGAAAAAAAACTTCTTTATAAGCTGAGTGCTGAGGATTTGGGACAGACTCCCCCCAGATGTGGTACAGTCATCCACCCTGGCGATCTTCAAAAAGCGTCTTGATGCCCATCTTGCTGGGGTCACATGACCCCAGCGGTCTTTCCTGCCCAAAGTGCAGGGGGGCCAGACCTGATGATCTGTAAGGTCCCTTCCAGCCCCTAACAAATATGATATGTTCCTATAGGGACCAAGACATTACCTATCAAATGCTCTGGTCCATGACTACCTCCCCTATCAGTCAACTATAGGGAATTATAGAAGGCACTATAGAATTATTAACTAGCAATACTTATCTAGTGCAGCTGCAAGGTCAAGGAAAAAGGCAACCCTGGAAGGTTTTTCCAGTAGAAATAAGATGGACCAACAGTGGCAGCTTAAAGTTACTTCAGATAGGACACAGAAAGCAAAATAACTATATAAAGCTATTGTCTTCCTTAATCATACTGTATGTTACTTACCAGTTCACACAAGTATTCCCAAAATACCTTTAAATAGTCTTGTCACTAACTTTGAAATATATTCCTCAGATCTTCCTATGGCTCCTAACATTAATCACAGTTACCAATTAATTTAAATGAGCCTGTACAGAAAGTCTGTCAAAGCTACTTAATTCCTTTTAAAAGAGAGAGATTTTTAATGAGTGGGACTGGTTTTATAATCCAACTTTAAATCATGATTAATGAAGTGATAAATTAAAAGACTGGTGTTGTAAAAATGACTGCTCAAACTTATTCTTTACTGGCTCTTTATTTTGTATAAGTTAGAGATGACAAGGCAGGCACGAGAGCTGTAACGTCAAAGTCCATGCAACAGCAGGAGGAACAAAATGGTACGGACTTTTCTGCAGTTCCTTTGTTTAGGCATTAAGTGCATTCATTTGAAACTTTGCCAGAATCTCCCTTTATCCCCCAACAGCACAGAGGTAGGAGAACTAGCAAAACTGTCTGAGATAAATCAGAGTAGAAGATGCTGCTGGACTTTGTCTTAAAACTGCCTCTACTTGGGGATACACCAAACCCTTCTGAGAAGGCTGCAAATGTTGTGTATTCCACCCCCAATTACTGCTGTGGCCCCTAAACAACACACCATTACCACACCAGTCTCCCATGTAGAGCTCATTCAAGCAGTTCCTCCCAGGACTTAGGATATAGCAAGGAGAACCAAAGAAATGACTCCTGGGCTGCAAACCACAACTGAGCAAGTGCTTGGGGCTTCTGTTCAAACACCTCTTGTGGCTTCTTGGGAATGAACAGGACAATCTCACCTTGAACTGATCAACCATTTCAGTGTTTCTGGAACAGCCAGTACATATTGGAGCACAACTAAGTTTTGGATGATTCTTCTCACTTCTGACTTGCTTTTCCTTCCTCTACTTCTGGATGCGTCAGCCATAAGGGGGAGGGTTTTTTAACCCAACCCTAGTCCCCCCTTATATCTCAGGGTCCAAGCAATAATGCATGTGGTACCCCCAGTATTGCTGAAAGGTCTCAGAGGCAGTTTGCACTCGGTGCAACAGGTTTGACCTTATGCTGCCAACAGGTTGAACCCAAACTGGACTCTTGCAAAACTCTCATAAGGAAGGAAGGAAGCAAAATAGCAGCTAGGTAAGTCTTAAATGATAAACAGTTCATGTGTTCTTAATCATTTTGTGATCATGCTAAATGGAAGCTAAGCTCAGCTCCCACCTCCTTTGATTGAACAAAATGACTGACCATCTTGTGCCCCAGGAATACAGAACAATGGCATTCACTGGAGGAGAGAGCTTCATTATTGCCATCAGAGTGGTGAGGAGAGTCAACCATTTAGTAACAGCCATTTCATTTAAAAGCTAATGCATCACGGACAGTGTACATTTCTTATTGTGTCATCTAAGAAAGACTGTACAATCTCACTTAGCATTTCTTTCTTCCTGCTTTGCTTTCTTTTTAAGCAAGTGTACCAAATAGACCAACAGCTTCTTTTTAAGCAAGTGTACCAAATAGACCACCTCCCAGTACTTGCATATGTTTTATTCCATTGACAACAAAAGAGCTGCGTGAGAGAAATTCTCAAACAGACAAAACCAAGTAATCAAAATCCCAATCATCCTGCAAGATGTTTTATGTGGACAGAGGCATCTCTTCACACAGAGCCCACAGCAGGATCTAAGCCAACTATACCAGAAGACTTCACCTTGTCAGAGATGCCTGCTGGTCACCACCTTACCATCAAAATGTAAGTCTTACTTGTAACTAGAGTAGGCACGACATTGTCAGGCAAATTTTTCAAGTACGATAAAAATAGATTATGTTCTAGAAGCATTTTCACATCCAAAATATTGCAGCTATTTGCATTATTCCCTTAAAATGTTTTCAGGAGTTAAAACAGGGGCAGGCAATTATTTTGGGCGGAGGACCGCTTACTGAGTTTTGGCAAGTTATCGAGAGCCGCACAACAGGCAGCCAGGGGCAGATAAGTATTGGAGAGAATGGCTTGGCAGGCTGCATCCAGCCCATCGGCCACATTTTGCCCACCCCCGAGTTAAAACATGGTACCAAATTATTAAAGATCTCATTAAAAAAAAAGAGCAGAAGATACCAACTAAAAATGAACACTGGTGTTCAGCACTGCTTGATACACATTAAGAGCCTGATCCTACAAATCTTTATTCACTCAGCTGGCCCCATTCAAGTCACTGGGATTACTTGTGCATTTATTCAAGTGAACGAGATTTTCCATGACCACTTCAGTTTAGCCA